GTTCATGAGCTGTGTTTTATTTCCTTGTTCTGCATTCTAGAAAGACCGATTCCACGTGGACAATAACCTGTGTGGCCCATGGATGAGATGGAGAAAATGGAAGCAGATGGGACACATCTGCTAACCATAAACATTTCTTCATTAGTGTCATCCTCAGATTTATGTGTGCTATGTGTTTGTGAAAGACTCTGACATTGATCATACTTAATCTATATTTTTAAACAATCAAACCACTGGCCATTTTTCATAGATGTGGATCAAGATGTACATGTAATACAGATGGACGTTTTTGTTGTTGTTGTCGTCAAGCTGCCTCCTGGATGTAAATTATGTAGTAATGTCAGTTACATCCAAATCCTTCTAACAAAGTAGTAAGGGCATATTACCTATTCACCTAGCTCGGGATAGGAGAAGCCAGCACAGCAGAGTGGAATTAATCAGTGGTGAAGTAAAAGTGAAGAAACACGGGCGTGCTATTCCAAGCTATGCCATTCACCTTTTTTTTTTTTTTTTTTTTTTGGGGGGTGATATGTTGTCAGAAGACTTGAGAGTTCTTACCCTTCACCCAGCAATTATACTTTTAGAAAATGTACCCAGATGAATAACCTGGGTGTCGGGTTTTAGCTAGGGGACGTCAATTGCTGTATAGCACATAAGTTTAAAAATAGGAATTGTTCATATCAGAGACTAAGAGATCAGATTAATGGAATGCATTCCTCCCTGAAGCCACGCCCACCCCATCCCTGCAACACAAAGTAGCGTGAGTGTCATGGATTAGTTTACATCAGCAGATAGTAGACAATTAGAGACTCAGATCTTTACTGTTATCATTCCAGATTAGAGCCAGTGTGCACTACCCCCAAGCTCTGCCAGTTCCCAAGCCAACCAAAGGTAAGATATGTTTTCAACCCTCAGGGAAGGGTTGGTCTGCTGACAATGAGGGGCAGGCGGACCCTCAACCACTGCGCCACCAGGGAAGCCCTGCCATTTATCTTTTTGAAACTCGCCAATCCTGCACCTCAAAAGCCTCATCTATAAAAAAGAAGTACAAAACCATGGGATACACCATGAAACTCCACACAGTGCCTACAGTAGGACTCAAAAGACTGTAATGCAAATGATTGTAAATGATCACACTTCACAGTATCAATGTTCCTCCAATAAAGGATGTATTATTTATTTCTAAATCTTGACTTACTATTGGGAAGATTCAAATGATAGAAAAACCTAAACATTTTTTTAATTCAGTATTCTGCCTGAATCTTAGAATTATTTTGAGGATCCAAGCGAGTTCAGATGCAGGAAAGCATTTTTTTTTTTGCGGTACGCGGGCCTCTCACTGTTGTGGTCTCTCCCGTTGTGGAGCACAGGCTCCGGATGCACAGGCTCAGCGGCCATGGCTCACGGGCCCAGCCGCTCCGCAGCATGTGGGATCTTCCCAGGCCGGGGCACGAACCCGTGTCCCCTGCATCGGCAGGCGGACTCTCAACCACTGCGCCACCAGGGAAGCCCAGGAAAGCATTTTTGAAAGTGTTAGAACATTCAGGTAGGAAGGAAGAAAAGTCCGTAGTCATACCTCCAAGACTAGAGAGGCCTGGTCTAGTTTTCCAGGTCTGCTTCTCCCCACAACTTGTAAAGAATTGCCTGAAGCAAAGGGCCAGGGCACAGGCAAGAGAGTAGAAGGACTCTGTGAAACCATCCCCTGCCACAAATCCCGATGGCTGCTGGAAACCATCTCACACAACACAGGTTAATAGAAGCCATCCTTGCAAGCGAAAGACCCTTGTCTTATTTCATCAGCTGCTAACGAAATAAACATCTCCCCGCAGAATGCCTATCCAAACACAGGAAATAAATTATTGAACACTAAAACTATTCTAACATCACAAAGACTCACAAACCACATAGCAGGCTGAGTCCAGGACAAACTCCGTGTCACTTAGAATTTCAAAGTCATCCCAGTTCTGTCTTACCCTCAGTCCCTTCTTGGCACGACCCTTCTTGAAAGCTGCAGGACAATATGCAGTCATTGATGATAAGAAGGGCAAGAGAAGACGCAGTAATTGACAAAGAGAGGCAGTAATGGATTGATTGGGAGACAATCTATCAACACTATGATTAAATTTAATAGAATGAAACAAGACAGACCTGGTAGGTGGGAAATTCATCATGAGAGTCAGATTGAGGCTACCCCAGATCAATTAAATCAGAATCCGGTGTAGACCACACTTTTTTTTAACTCTCCATGTGATTCTATAGAGGAATCAGCATTGGGAATTCTGCTTTTAGACCTAATGCAGAATCTAATTCTGCAATTAGACCCTTTTTGCAAACTGGTAGCTAGCTTTCTCCTTACAGCATGATGGATTCTCTAAAACAAAGTCTCCCACTTCGTAAGAGGAAGGAGTTAAAGATCCCAACCCCAAGGAAGTGCTCAAGTGTAAGCAGGACCCTCCCAAGGCCAGGATATTTACAAAAACAAAAAACGAAACTGTATTTTCAACTTGCCTGTAAATTCCTGCGAATGTCTGACTGCTGAGACAAAAGCTTAGTCTTTTTATTGTAGTCTCTCAAATAACATTAAAACAAATATCAGGGACAAAAAAAAAAAAAATGCTTTCCATGAAAAATTAAGATTTCTGGCGATAAATCAAAGATGACGAGGGTAGTTTCATTTTTTCATTATTTATTTTAAAAAATTTGGGGGGGGGGTTTCCCTGGTGGCGCAGTGGTTGAGAGTCCACCTGCCGATGCAGGGGACACGGGTTCGTGCCCCGGTCCGGGAGGATCCCACATGCCGCGGAGCGGCTGGGCCCATGAGCCATGGCCTCTGAGCCTGCGCGTCCAGAGCCTGTGCTCCGCAACGGGAGAGGCCACGACAGTGAGAGGCCCGCGTACCGCAAAACAAACAAAAACAACAACAAAAAATTGGGGGGGGGGTATTTTCATTTTTAAAAGGAAGGTAAGGCATTGTGAAAAATGCCAATTAAAAACGTCTGTCTCATCAATTACCATACATACATATGTAGCCAAACTTGATCAAATGTAATACGAAACAAGCACTAACTAAAAAAAGAATTCTCAAGCTCTAACATCAAGAAGCTAAAATAACTGGGACATGGGATAAAAAAAATTTTGAATACCGAAGACCAGGGTCAAGCACATTTTTCACATGCTGCAAAAATCTCTTAAAGTAGTGATTACAAAATTTTTAGAGCGAAGGAAACAGTAAAGATGAATTTGGACCTAGAGATTGTCATAGTGAATGAAGTAAGTCAGAGAGAGAAAGATAAATATATGATATCGTTAATACGTGGAATCTAAAAAAATTGTACAAATGAACTTATTTACAAAACAAAAGTAGAGTTGTAGCTGTAGAAATCTTACGGTTACCAAGGGGGAAATGGGGGGGAGGGATAAACTGGGAGATTGGGATTGACATATACGCAGTACTATATATAAAATAGATAACCAACAAGGACCTACTATATAGCACAGGGAACTCTACTCAGTACTCTGTAATGACCTATATGGGAAAAGAATCTAAAAAAGAGTGGATATATGTATATGAATAACTGAATCACTTTGCTATACAACTGAAACTAACACAACATTGTAAATCAACTATACACCAATAACAAGCTAATAAAAAAAATAAAAGCACTCGGAAAAACAGAAAAAAAAAGATGAATTTGGTACATACCATTTCGGTCCTCTGCACACATTCCTCTCTCCTGGCCTGGGGACTCTCTCATGGGGACAGTAGGATATGAGAAAAGAGAGTGACATCAGGGCAGAAGGTGGAGGATTGTGTGCAGAGGACCCCAAAGCATTTAAGAAGCCTCCTTCAGAATGTATTCCCCATTTGTCAACACATCGCCGAGTGATCTTGGGATAGCACATCTGGCTGTTTTTCATTTCCCCCAGAAATGGAGTTAGAAAAGTGACCACTGACTTCAGCTGTGATGATTAAAAGGAATACGAGATTTAAAAATAATAGAGCGTCAGGCAAATGTGACACGTGACAATTGTTACTACGCGGCAGAAGGAGACACATGATAGGTGGAGAGTGACATATACCAAGGAAAATTCGGCACGCGTGGAACAGAAGCCCAAGTGGAACGCAACAGGCGCAGAGAAGGGTTAGAACATAACGCAGCTCAGTCGCAAATTAAAATAAGTAAATAACCAACCAAACCAAAACAAAACCCACAATAGAATCTGTAAGGAAAGGGGGGTAAAATCAACACAAGTCAAGGTGGAGAACAAGCAGCCTATATATCAATGCGCAACAAGAAGCGATAAGAATAAAACTGGAGAATTCTACGGGGGAAACCAAACTCAGAGTCTAAAGAAGTGGGGGGTATGCTGGTTAGGGGGGACAGGTCACGTACTCCCGCTCATTTGGTCAGAATTCCTGAAACCCTTGATCTGTCCATGAAACTACTAGCCGTGCAAAATACAGATGGTGGAGTTTGAAAGACAATAAAACGAGACACACAAGTTATGATGACCCTAAAAAAAGTCTGCTTAAGTGCTCAAAGGTAAAAGGTGTGCTATTAATTTATAAGTTTAGGCTTATTGCCGCGGAAATGAAAATTACAGAAAGGCCTATAAACTTGTGTGTGTGTGTGTGTGTGTGTGCAGGTTTTGGGGATTTTTTCCAGAGGAAGAGTGGGGGAAAGGTACTGTATTTTGGACTCCAACATACTGCTCCAAAAGTAATTTGGTAAAACCAGATCTTCCAAATGAGATGGCTAAGCAGAAGCAAAGGGAAAAACCAGAAATTCACAACAGTTTGTGAAGAGCAACACTGAGCTTGTCTAGAGCTCTCTGTAATCTGGCTACTTACTGCGGAAGACGGAAAGAACTGGGGAAAGTGCTCAGAGCATCCATCTCCCGTAGGGGCCTGACACTGACCCGATCTCTGGGGCGCTCCCCAGGGGACACGCACTCTGCCCGCTGGACTCTCTCCGAACCATGAAAGTGAGTTACCGTACCTGTAACCAGAGCCTGTCGCCGGCCACAGTCCTGCCGATGGCACTGCACTGGAAGGCGGCAAACTGGCCCGCGTTGACCTCCACGTTCTGAATCCGCAGGAAGTGAGGCGTTCTGGCTGCACAAAGAGAAAGAATTAAACAGGTTAAAAGTGGAGATCTGAACTCATAGGTGTCTTTTTTAATCTATCTGCAATTTCCGGCCTTTCCCTTTTGTTTACCTTTGAAGGAAAGAATGCCTTTGCTTCTAAGAGCTTTAAAGATTTCATTAGGATTGTAAAAGAGATTCTGGAAGGCTCTGGTGTGTTCTGCAACAGCCGGGCATTCTGGGATAGAACCAGGCCGAAAGAAGATACTTTATTGTCCCTGCTGTGCAAATAATCATAGCTCAGCAGCCCTCTTGTAATAACAGACCTGTATTAATAAAGATTATACTGAGGCCTAATTGATGTTTTGAACAAAAACATATTAGATATTTATACTAGCAACATGAAAAGAACAGTAAGAAGTTAAATGCTGCTGCCAAGGAAACTTTTTAAGCCAAGTACAGAGCTGTGAGTAATATATATTTTAATACAACTCATTGGTATGCAGCATTACTCGTGTAATATTTCCCAGCTACCAAAAATACTATCCCCATAGACAGATTCTGTGAAATTATGTTGGGACTGCTATAGCACGGCGGTGTTGGCGGATCCTGATTTCCAATTCGAGAAGAAAGAATGATTCCAACTGCTAAACAGCATTAAGTCTCATAACATACATCGTCCATAGGGGACAGCTGTTTAAATAAAGGATCACTCTGTTTGACCTGAGAAGCACAGACCCATTTCCACAGCACACTGAAAATGCGTGTCAGGACCTGGAGTGACAGGTCAGGAATGAAATTTTATGATAACTTCTAATTTTAGGAAAACATTCTCTTATCAAAACAAGGAGAGAGAGAGAGAGCAGCAAGAGGTGGGGTGGGGGGAGGTGAGGGAGTAGAAAATAGGATGCCACTGTTTTCTGGGAGGGATGGATAAACCAGGATGACAGCTAGAAGGCATTCTTTATGCCTTGTCAACCTCCCCCCAGTGCCAAGGTGCTCTGGACCACGTGCATCTAGACACTTTCAAAGAATGGTACCCCACTCCTGGGTACCCAAAGATGATAAACAAGCACTATGGTTAGCCTGTAAAAAACGTAATTAGGAGTGGAAATGAATTACTATCCAAGAACAAAGAAAAATGCATTTTAATACCAGTAACACAGAGGAAACCCCCATTACTAATTTGGAGGCCACCAATAACTCAGACAATGCATTCATGATGCCTGCCATGCAAAATGTCCTAAGTAACTTCTAAAGAACCAGTATAACTCTGGGTCATTGTTTCTAATACTATTATATTCACTTAAAACTCTGTAAACTATTTCTCATTAACTTAATCAAATTCCCCTTGGTCAAGAATAACAGCATTCTATGGTTTTAAAGATCTGTGTAAAAAGTCCCTGCATCAAATTTCTCTTCTACTCGCTGTTCCCAAGAAGCTGGAAGACCCACTGCTTTTAGAAAATGGAAAAAGGTAACGTTCTTTTTGAGCATTTCAGGGGCCAGAAACTTTTCCATTGATGACTCACACATGTTCTGTGAGGAAGGTATTTTTTCCATTTTACTTGTGGGTACTTGGCTACTAAGCATCAGACGCAGAGTGGAAACTTTGGTCTAGCCAGTTCCAAAGCTCAGGCTCCGCCCATCAGGCCACACTGCCTCGGCGAGCCTTGCAGCCCGGTGTCTGCCTTCCCCATGCTCTCATCCCACCAGGTATGGCTCCCAGTCTAACTGCTGGAATTCCAGCTACTTTCAAGGACCTTCTCCAACGCTTTTCCTTCCATAAAGCTTCCATGGATTCCCTTAGCTTGCTGTTAGACCCTTGAGATAACACATGTCCTCCGTCAGGACATCTCACTGATGTTACCCTCTCCTGTCCATCTCATGGCCTCCTAACTCTGCTTGCCTCTGGCTGCAGGTCACTATAACACATTGGGTCTCTAACACGGAGTGTTGGGTGTGTAGCCATCTTTCATGACAACTTGGGTTAAGGGGGTGTTATACCTGCGGCTGCTGGTCTGCAGTGACACCGCACGTGGTTAAGCGCAGGGTCAGTTCGGAGCTTATGCTGGAGGGCTCTTAATTATTTTGAGTATCACCCCTGCTGTATCCTCCCATAGTTAGCATTGTTAGAATACTTTTGACACAAATTGCTGAACTGCTTTCCTTAGAGCATATGACAATTGGCATTTCTACCAGCAGAGTAGGAGAGTACTGTTTTTACCACGCCCTCAAAAATGCTAAGTGTTCATTTCTGTAATCTTTCTGGAGAATCTGATTAAATATATGTGCTCTGCTTCATCAGCTTACTTAACAATAATAAATAACAGGAATATCAGAATTGTCACTGGTTCTGCTACAGGTCTGTCCATCCATAGTAAGTCCGCCCTGGAAGGTCTTTTTCCTAAGGGCCCTGCTTCTAGCAATGGCTACTGAACCAAAGAGAAAGACATAGCAAAGCTCATTTATCAATACAATTTGCTAATTGTATTAGGAGTTCTATTAGAATATAACTTACATTTTTAATTTGGTGGCCAAAGATAGGATTGTGTGACAGTATTTCTTTACCCCCATCCTTATTAAGACATGCTGCCCAGAATGAGGGCTATCCCTTCTCCTTTAGAATGGATTTGATGTTCAATACGGTTTTCTCAAAGATACCAGGGCTTATTACTTGCACAGTAAGGTTAAGAGTCTAAGGAATTGATACCTCTGTTCAAATTGTATTTGGGGAGGGTTCTTCTCTGAACAGATTGGCTGTGTTCAGTTTGGGAAATAGTGTTTCTTGGTTGAGAAGAAGACTGCCAGAAAAAAAAAAATAGTCTGGCTAAAATAATAAAGCCATACCTCCAATGGAAACCAGATGAAAAGTGTAAACACTTTTATCAGCAAAGTATCCTTTTCAAGCAAGAGAATTAATTGAATTAATTAATTCATCCACCAGGGTGAATAAGACAAAGGGGCTATGGAATTCTATGTTCCAGATCAGTTTCCTCCAAGATCATGAAGGTTAAAATTTCTACTGGTGACATTTGTAAGTTTTTTCAATAAACATTAAAGGCATACATAATCATTCCAGAGGTTTAAGGTGCCTGGATTCTCCCTACCTAGTGCTGTAAACCCTACAACTGTTTTCTGTGCAGCATAATATGTGTTCAAGCTCAGGCTCTTACTACCTTTGAATAGAAGCAAAAATTCTTCAACCCAAGCCTTAGTGGATTTTTTTTTTAATTTGAAAAATAAGGATTTAAAAATAGTACTTATTTCATAGGGTTGGGATAAAGATTAAACAAGATGCTGCCAGGAGGAGGTATTCTGTGTGCCTGGTACTTAGCCTCAAAAATGTTCATTATTATTTAAAATAATGGATCTATCACTGGAAACTGGAAAAGACCCCAAGAAAAAGAGCTCCACAGCCAGAAAAGTTTCAATTCCACGCTCAGCTGCGTGCTCTGAACCTTGCCAAACTAATTGTAACACAGGTAGAGCACCATTACAGTGGAAAATTTCAATCTATCCCATACTCAGGAAGAAAAATTCTCTCTTTCTCTCTAGATTTATAGGCCCATTTGTCTCCTGGATACCCTTTCAAAATGCTATGCCAGTTTTTTTCTAAAATCTGCAGGAGTTCTAAAAACTAAATATCTTCCATGAATACTAAGAGGTTTTTGAGTACAACTCTCCTATTTTTTCATTTCTGCCATATTCTTTTGTTTCTTACTAAGAAAACTGTTTTCAAAAGAATAGAGGTTTTCGGGTATTAATTGACCTCACATCAGCATTTGATCCCAAAGCTAGGAATTATCATTGACCAGGATGCAAATCTTTTTGTAGATGTCTCATATTATTTATTCTTCAAAGCCTGCACCAAAACACTAACAACAAAATCAGAGAACGGTAATTTGCAACATCAAAGTGCAAACGGAAATGGACAAAAGTGGACTGTGCCCTGACCCCTTTGCATTTTCATTTACATTTTAATGTAATGGCACAGGTTGAGATGGGCTGCAGCCATGCCCGCCCGCCAGAATGCACCGTCAATGCTTCTCTCTATTTGTGTAGCACATCATCACAAAGAAGAGAGCCAACTTCTGCTAAAAAGAACAGGCGGGACTGCCTGAAAACAATCTATTTTGCAAACATTTTTTTAACTTTTAAAATGGACACTGCTAAGTTATCACATCTAAGAAATCAACCAATTTAGCCACTTAGAGTTAAAATCTGCAGCTAATACATTCTAGTGGGCCAATCAGGATGTAGGCCTAGTAATAATAATAATAACAGCTAACATTTATTGGGCTCTTAGAATGTGCTAAGCCCTGTTCTAAGTTCATTATGTACATTAACTCATTTAATCCCTACATTTACCTTGTGAGGAGACCATTATCATTATTATTCTCCACTACGTGAGCAAGTTTATAGGGCCACAGGGGCCAAGAAACTCTTGTGAGCAGGAAGCTCTTAACATGGTTGAAGACAAAACTACTTTTGTTTTGCTTGAGAGGTAAGAATGGATCTTAATGGAATAATTTGTCAAGGGAAAAACAGAATCAACATCCTTATCATAGAAAAATAAGCTAGGCACTGTGTACAAATAACTTTTATTAGTCACCCATCTCTTGAAGAAGAATGATAGTCCACTGGAGAAAAAGCCAAGCTAAGTTCCCATGTGTAAAATGAAGAGAAAAACAAATACCGTATATTAACGCATATATGTGGAATCTGAAAAACTGGTGTAGACATCTTATTTACAAAGCAGAAATAGAGACATAGATGTACAGAACAAACGAATGTATACCAAGGGGGAAGGTGGGGTTGGGATGAATTGGGAGATCGGGATTGACACATATACACTATTGATACTATGTATAAAATACATAACTAATGAGAACCTACTGTATAGCACAGGGAACTCTACTCAATGCTCTGTGGTGACCTAAATGGGAAGGAAATCCAAAAAAAGAGGGGTATATGTATACATATGACTGATTCACTTTGCTGTACGGTAGAAACTAACACAACATTGTAAAGCAACTATACTCCAATGAAACTTTTTTAAAAATAAAAATAAATAAAATGATAAACTCAAATAAACTCAATTCTGAGTTCTGTGCGTCTCTCAACCAAAGCACATGGGTCAGTTTTTATTCAACAAACATAATTCAGAAAACAGTTCCAATTTTTTATATGTCTCTGTTATTCTTATTTTAATCACACTGTTTAATGTCTTCATAAAAATTTAAATTTGAAAGTAGGCAAGCAATGTTTGAGTTTGCAAATAAATATGAGTGAAAAAATAATTTTGTTTTATAAAATAAGAATAAATTTGAACCTAGGATGCCATATTATGAACTCAGCATTTCTTAAATGTTTAAAGAAATTGCTGACTTATTTCATATTGCAAAGTAGTAATACAGAAATGTCCTGGATTTTTGTATTCATTTTATCCTATATATGGCACATAGGTTTATGAGGGTTTTTGCAATCTTTTTCATTATAATATTTTTTTTAATTGGCAGAAAAACAATGAGGCATTATTCTGTGTAATTTTTAGATTTCAGAATTCAAGGCATCATATATGCAAATAACTTCATATTTAAGGTGTTATATGACAACGTATAACAAAGACTGTACAGTGTAACCCAGCGAGATTTATCCTGGGAGTGCTAGATTGATTTAACATCCAAAAATCAATCAGTATAACACACCCCACCAATAGGATAAAAGATAAAAGCCACACGATAATCTGATAAATAACGGAGTTCAGGAAATGCTACCCAAAATATGGCACCTTTGCACACTGAATAAATTAAGCTGAAGGAGTTCAAGAAAACAGCAGTAGCAAGAAGGTCACTCTGACCTTCCCTTCCCTTATCCCCTAAACAGGCCATAAAACCCTCACGTGAGAGGTGCCCTCCCTGCACCAGAAGAAAGGAGCTTTCTTATCTCCAAAGACAAAAGTTCACCAAGAAGAATCAACGCTCGCATCTTATTTGTCTTCCTCCGTTTGCCACACTTGCTGTACAATCTCTATCATATCATATTCCTCCATGAATGTCTGCTCTTCACGAGAACCAGCATAAATATACCAGGTCTGTTTCTGCAGGTCTCCATTTACTTACGAGGCTCCCATGTCACATAAAACATACATTAAATGTATCTGTATGCTTTACTCCCATGAAACTGTCTTTGTCAGTTTCATTTTCAGACCCAGTCAGAGACCCTAAGAGGGTCAAGGAGAACTTTTTCCTCTCCTACATACATAAAGGAAAAGCATTTGCTAAAACCCAACACCCTTTCATGATTGATTTTTTTAAAATACCCAACAAAGTAGGAATAAAAGAGAATGTCTTTCCTGATAATGAGCATCTATGAAAAACCCAAACCCACAGCTAACATCATACTGAACGGCTGGAAGCCTCCCTCCTAAGACAGGAACATGACAAGGATGTCTTCTCTCCATTTGTACTCAACATTGTACTGGAGGTTCTAGCCACAGCAATTAGGCAAGAAAAGGAATAAAAGGCACCCAGATTGAAAAACAGGATATAAAACTAACTCGACCTAAAGATGACATGGGTCTTGAAAATTCTAAGGATCCACAAAAAACAATTAGAGTTTATAATAAGTAAGCTCAACAGGGTCTCAGGATACAAAATCAATATACAAAAGTCAATTGTGTTTCTATACACTTGCAATGAACAATCCAAAAAAGAAATTAAGAAAACAATTCCATTTACAGTAGTATCAAAATAAAACACAAAGGAATAGATTTAACAAAAAAAGTATAAGGAAAGAAGTTCAGTTAGTACCCTGAATACTGCAAACACTATTGAAGGAACTTTTAGAAGACCCAAGTAAAAGGAAAAACATCCCATGTTCCCATGCACTTTGAGTGGATGAATTGAATGATATGTGATGTTAAAATGCTGCATGGCTTACAAGATATAAAAATACATATCAGCACCACAAGGTAATCATAGTAATACCCACCTATGCATAAGTTACAACCTACTTAAAAACAGGAGACAATATTTCGAAGCTGAAAAAAATCCTTCTTTATTGTTTCTCCTGCTAAGATTATTGAACCAAATTCAAAATATAGTTTTAGCATGTGTACCAAATACAAAAATTATCTATCTTCATTAGAAGTGGTCTGAAGCCACTGCACAGCCATCTCCACATTTCAAGTTGATCTGGCATCTTACTGTCACTACGTGAAAATCAATTTTATGAGCAACTGTATACACTTAACGGAAGAGCTATTTTTTTAAAAAAACGTCATAATGTCTACTCATAAACCTATATGATTCCAAACAGGACCCTTTAGAGTGAAGTAAATAAAATTCAGCAGTTTTGCATCTTTTGGGAAAGCATAGTTTTGGACATGAAATACTTATGTTTCTTCACGATGTAAATTTAATGAACATCATCAGCATTTCAAAATAATTGATTATTATTTAGAAATCTTGATAGGAAAGCCCTTAGAATACAAACTGTAAAGCTTTCCATTTTAAGACGAAACGACTGCCTTCTTTAAAATCTTTATTTGCATGTTTTCCCCATAAATTTAGCGATTCAGGAAAAAAATAACTACAGAAAGGCCATCATCAAAACCATTTAAAGCTCACAGTTCAACACGTTGTTGTAGCATCCATCACCTTGGGACAGAGCCTGTTTTGTGATTCTGTATCTCCTAACAGCAGTTTGCAAAGCCAATTAAGTATCAGCACCCGTATTCTCCAAAGGAGAGACATAAACTCCATTTCTATGGCTGCAGGCAGCTGGGCTTGGAAAGAATGCACAAAACTGCAGGAGACACATTTCAGGAAGGCTCTGATAGTAGGAAAAGCATTAAGTCTTCCTCTCTTACTGAAGGCAATGACTCAGATCCTGCGGGATGGGAGGGGCTACACCTGAGGAGCTATTTTGTTGGCCAGTGGCCACCACACCTATACCCAGGGCAGCATCGACACCTGCCTTGTGGTGAGGTTTGCTCTGGGAAATGGAGTGCTCAGCCCATAGTAGGACTACAGTATTACTGTCTGACTTTTTACCTCCCAGTAAGAGGTGAATCAGAGGCCCTGAATATTCATGCACATTAGATCTCATGGCACTTTTCAAAGCCCGAGGCTATGACTCTGAGAATTTGGCCAAGTTCCAACTCAGGTAATTATGTTCTGCTTCCTAATTTGCCCTGCGGTTCCCATTAGGTACGGCATTGTTCATTTTCTTGCCTTTTCAGAAAAAAAGGGGCAGAAATTCTTTTTGAACTCGCCAGTCCTGCTGACAGAATAAAAGGCCAAGCGCCGTGCCACAAAAGTAACGTCTGCCTTAGTAATGAACAAGATGACTGCTGAGCTTGAACTTGGACCACCAGGTAAAGATCTCAGAGAGGAGAACCCCTCTGGATGGAATCAGACAACAGTGTCATGAGAGCCCATCAGATACCAACCACCCAGGCTTCTCTGAAACCACCACAGGGAGTGATCATGGCGCCAATCTCTCAATCCATGCAGTAAAAGCAGACACTCCTGCGTGTGTTGGTATTTCTAATATCAGTGTAGATATAACCATTCTCTCATGAATTTGGGTGGGGACCTTCAGCAGAGATCTAGAATCGTCTGAATGAGCCAATTTCTCTTTTATGCCAGGGATCCTAAAACATAAAGCAGGCTGCCATCCCTGGGATGGTCGAAGATTTAATGTCTGACAATATCAATTTGGGGCAAGGATATAGGGCAAATGAAACGTCCGTGCATTGCTGGTGGGCATATAAACTGGTCAGGTATTTTTCATAGCATCTAGTAAAACTAAAAATGTTTCTACCCTACCGCTCAGCAATTCTGCCTTGAAGAATACACCTCGCCCAAGCTCTCACACACTGCATGCAGAGGTGCGCACACACACACGGATGTTCACGGCAACCACGTTTGCCATAGAGGAAAACTGGGCTGAGGGGGACTAAACGTTCATAGAGGAAAAGAAAAAATAGAATGTAGTATATTCGTAGGATACAATCTCATGGATTGACCTATATACAATGCTAAGTGTGGAAAAAAAGAATACAGAGTAATTTGTACAGTTCACTACAATTCATCACAATTTACAAAAGGCAAACATAACTGTCTTACTTTTTGTGAACATGTAGTGATTATGGGAAACTCAGTGCACGTACACACACACACACACACACACACACACGTATGCAAGAACATCCACATGCACACAGGCACACATGCAGACACACACATGCACACACATATGCACGTGCCCACACAAGCACGCATGCTGGTACACCTAAGCACACACACAGACACCCACATTTGCAGACTTTTGCTTGCTCAGCTCCCAAAGCTCTATGCTGGGTTTGGATGTGGATATTCCCTTAGTCCTTATTCCTGGTTTTCACTTTAAAGACATTTAGATATGTACAATGACACCACACATGATGCACATGTTTTTGAACTTCTGGGCTAGCACAGCACCACCCAGAGGCCCATCAGGGACTCTCTTGAGTAGGACGGCCTCCCCCAGGTTTTAGTTCCTTCTCTTATCCATAACATAAAAACACCCCCAACCATGTCCCCGGATGATTAGAAGCTGAGGTAACTTACTACATGGATGTCCTAACACCTTCACTTCATCAATGGCAAGGTAGCCTTGATGTCCAGAAGTTACGACTTCAAAAATCACCTGGAAAGTTAAGAAAGGTTTTCATTATTCACTCATTTTGTCAACTTTTACCAAATATTTCCTACATGTAAGATATGTAGTTTCAACCATTCATTGATGTTTTCCAAAAATATTAATGGAACGCCCAATATCTGCCAGTCAGTGTTCCGGGTTCTAAAACTACAAAAACAACTAAGACTCAAACCCAGTTTTCAGGGACATGAACGGCGGTGGGTCAGACAGCACTGTACCTCAAGAACTCACCTCATAAAAGTGGGGCAGGGTACCATGGTTAAGAAGTGACACGTGGAAGACAGAGGCTGAGTCATTTTCCAGAGGCGATAAGATTTAAATTGCTTTAAGATGACATATCTTCTGGTCAACTTCTTTGAGGAAACTCTAGCACCAGACTGAACCACGTGGGGCCCTAGGTTTTATACAACTAATATATACAATTAAAATTTTAAACATATTATGAAAGAAGAGGACAGGATACTAGAAGAACATATACCAGATGGCCTCCCATGGGGAAGTGGCGTTTGAGCTGAGAGCTGAAGGTGAATGAGCTAACGGTGTGAAGAGGATAAGCCACCTTCCGGGGCATGCAAAGGCCCTGAGGTGGACGTGACGGTGGCCATGAAGAGGAGGCTGCGATCCGCAGCTATAAAGGCTCGGAGCTGTGACCCGGCTCGGAGATCCCAGGAAACACAGCACATTAGTAACACAGAGAAGAGACTACACTAGCTGAAATTCAAATGGCAGAGTCTCAATTAGGAGGAGAAGGATATAAAAATCTGTGCGGTGGCAAAATCAAGAGGCCTTTATGACTGTCTGGTCCTGGGAGAAGCAGGACAATAGAAGAAGGGCAACACGCTCTGAGGTTCTCAGAATGACGTTTTTGAGATGGTGGAGCCACTTCAGAGAAATTGAGGCTAAAGGGGATAAAAGAGCCAGTAACCAAGTTATCAGTGCTCTTAACATGACTGTCTAAAGGTGTCTGTTGTCAGGCTAGCGTTAATGATAAAAGGTCCACATGACATTATTTTCACCTCCATTTCTACACAGCAGGAAACTGTGTCACCAGGGAGACCACGGCTCATGCAACACGAGGAGGGTCAGTCTAACACACAACCCAGCAACTGCACCACTGGAGAAATGAACATTTTCATTCCTATAAAAACCTGCATATGCCAACCCCTATACACAGTACTATATATAAACTAGATGACTAGCAAGGACCTACAGTATAGCGCAGGGAACTCTACTCAGTACTCTGTAATGCCCTACATGGGAAAAGAATCTAAAAATGAGTGCATATACATATACGTATCACTGACTCACTTTGCTGTACACCTGAAACTAACACAACACTGTAAATCAACTATACTCCAATAAAAATGTTTTTAAAAACCTGCACACGAATGTTTATAGAAGCTTTAATTTATGACAGCCAGAAACTGGAAACAGTCCAGATGCTGTTCAAATGGTAAATGATTAAACCGACAGTGGTACGTCCATAGTGTGGATACACCTGACTTGGATGAATCTCCAGAGAACTGTGCTGAGTGAAAAAGCCCATCGTGAAAGATTACACGCTATTTGATTCCATTTACGTAGCATCATGTAATGTCAACATTTTAGAAATGGAGCACAGATGAGCGGTTGCCAGGGCTCAGGGATGCGGGGAGAAGGAACAGGAGGGAGATGGGTGTGGTTACAAAAGGACAACAGGAGCAATCCTTGTGATGCTGGAAGTGCTGAGGTCTTGACTGTGGTGATGGAGGCGCAAACCTACCCAGGTAATAAAATCATACAGTTCGTAGCAGCATCAGTCACAACAGCGCGGAAGGAACCCAAGTGTCCACTGATGGATAAGTGGATAAGGACAGTGCGGTCTATCCATACTACGGAATATTATTCAGTCTTAAGAAGGCCAAAAAAAATTCTGACACATGCTATGATATGGATGAACCTGGAAAACATGACACTCAGTGAAATAAGTCAGTTCTAGAAGGGCATATACCCAGAGTAGTAAATTCACAGAGACAGAAAAGAGAATGGTGGTTGCCTGTGGCTGGGCGGAGAGGCTGGGAAGTTATTGTTTTATGGGTGCAGAGTTTCTGTTTTACAAGACGAAAAGAGTTCTGGAGGTGAAGGGTGGTGATGGTTCCACAAGATTATGAATGTATTTAATACCCCTGAACCGTGAACTTAAAGATGGTTAAGATGACACATTTTAAGTGATTTGTATTTTATCACAATAAACCAGTGAAAAAATTATATAGCAGTAAATACACCCACATGCATACACAAGTACAAGTAAAACTGGGGAACTCTGAAAAAGCTCTAGATTTTAACAATGTCATTGTGACATTATACTTTAGGTTTGCCAAATGTTACCATCAGAAGAAACTGGGTGAAGTGTACATAGGAATCTGTATTATTTTTTACTACTGCATCTGACTCCACAATTACCCCCATAAAATTTTCAATTTAAAAAAAGTAATTATAAGTGACCATTTACTACACACATAATATGTTACATACCCTGGGCAGATATTACTCCACTGTCTTATTTATTATTTCACATGAAGATTCTTCAAGGATTCAATATTTCAAGAACAAAGAGATTTAGATACAAAGTAATGGTCCAAGAACATGCGATGCGTCTATGGCGGGTGTAACTTAAAATCCCAATCTTTCTGATTCCAAATATTGTGGCATTTTCACTACTGCCCGTTGCCTGAATGAACACTGCAACCAAAGGACTGCATTATTTATGTTTGTGCGACGGATGCAAGCATGGAGGAAGCAATGAGCAGGACCCCCAATGGAAAAGCTCAGGGGGCTTCCCAGATAGAAGTCATCCCAGAAACACCTGATATACTAGACGTCCCTGTGCCAGGATGCCACCAAGCTGAAATACAAAACACACAGCGGGAGGAGGGGCCCAGCAGGAGAACAGAAATGAAATGAAACTTGCTCCTGTTTAGGAGGTTAATATACATATTTTTCACTGATAGTACAGAGAAAGGAAGAGATGCACAGATATTCCTGCAATGGGATCTTTTTTTTTTTTTTTTTTTTTGTGGTACGCGGGCCTCTCTCTGTTGTGGCCTCTCCCGTTGCGGAGCACAGGCTCCGGACGCGCAGGCTCAGCGGCCACGGCTCACGGGCCCAGCCGCTCCGCGGCATGTGGGATCTTCCCGGGCCGGGGGACGAACCCGCGTCCCCTGCATCGGCAGGCGGACTCTCAACCACTGCGCCACCAGGGAAGCCCTGCAATGGGATCTTGCTAGCTTCTCTCTCTACTGGTCTGAGACAGGACAACTGAGGGGCAAAAAGCAGATGGACACTGAGAACAAGTGGAGGAAAAAGCCTTCCCAGGGCTCTCCAGACAGGGCTGCCGGGAAACAGCCATATCCTGCCTGGGAGGAGCAGCATCTGCAGGCAGAGCAGGAACCGGCCAGATGCTCTGGTCAGAGTGGCCACAGCACAGACTGATGCCCAGCACCACCAGTGACCCAAGAACGCCATCACTCTGGCCATGAAAAGGGTACTTTGAGAGCCGAACCCAGAAGTTCATGCATCTTTCCTGCCCTCTTCCCTCGCTCTTATACATTCATTCATCCAGTTCAAGTCTCCACCGAGCATCTCTCTACTCCAGGCACTTGGAGTAATGAACGGAATAGATGAAGATCCCTTTCCTCAGCAGGTGTGTCCTTCTTACCAAAAGTTGTATTTCTTCCTTTATCAACTACAAGGGCTGAAGCTTCTCATAAAAATGGAATAATCCTCATTTTTAAAGGGATGCATTAACTCTTAGAGTATAATGTACATATATAAAGCATGCTCATGTGGATCTATTTTTAAGAGTTGACACGTGTAAATTTAACGCACCATATTTAATTGAATCCAACACAAGGCCATGGAAAAGGAGAGAGAAAGGAAGGAGGGGGAAGGAATTAGACACTAGAAAAGCCAGCTTAAAACCTCTGTTTTTTCATCCATCACGTTAAGAGAACTTAGGACCCTCAAAAGTTTTATGCCCAAAGATTCTGAGCCTTATTGTCCAAATATTTATAGAATATTTACTACGTGCTCTGGGGGGGACCTCAAAAAATTAGACAATTTTATGAAATATAAGCTTTAGTTGGAGAAAAAATAAGGAACACAATGAAAGAACAGAAGGGATACAAGAACAGCCAAATGACAGATGAGAACAGTACGGAGCTCGTAGGACCATGAACCTTCTCCTCTTCCTTTCCTAACCAGCCAGGATGCCTGTGATACACCCAACACTACCTCCAGCCCAATTCTCAGCCTGCTAAGTGCAAACCCACAGATGCCTGAGCAAGCACTTACGCAGCGTCTCAGCCAGGCTAGAGACAGAGCAAGACTCAGCAAGAAGCCAATTCCCCAAATTTCCCAGCAAGATGACTCGCCAGTGAGGCCACAACCAAAGAAGTGAACATAAGTTTACACCTGAAACTTTGTTGCTCTCAGTCTTCCAGCTGGAACACCAAGAAGCAAAGAAAGCCAGAGTCTGATTACAGATACACTGGAGACCAGTGGACTGGCCCTTTCCTTTAACTGGAAACTTCTGAAGCAAACTTCTGAACTTGGCAGGTTCCAGCACTGACTTACAGCTAACTGCAGGGACAAAAAGAGGAAAACAATCTTTATAGATATGTTTACGGGTCTGTGTCTATACACCTGCACACAGATGCACAGACATGTAGATTTCTATAAAATAGATAAATAAAAAGTTAGTATGACACCTTAGGTTTTAAACAACAGAAGGTGCATAATGTGTTGCAAGTTTGAAGCAATCATTTCAAAGTTTCTTTCCAAAGAATTGAAGCACTTTTTTTTTTTTTTTTTTTTTTTTCCCCGGTACGCGGACCTCTCACTGTGTGGCCTCTCCCGTTGCGGAGCACAGGCTCCGGACGCGCAGGCTCAGCGGCCATGGCTCACGGGCCCAGCCGCTCCACGGCATGTGGGATCTTCCCGAACCGGGG